TACGACTACGACTACGACTACGACTACGACTACGACTACGACTACGACTACGACTACGACTACGACTACGACTACGACTACGACTACGACTACGACTACGACTACGACTACGACTACTACTACTACTGCTACTACTACTACTACTACTACTACTACTACTACTACTACTACTACTACTACTACTACTACTACTACTACTGCTACTACTACTACTACTACTACTACTACTACTACTACTACTACTACTACTACTACTACTACTACTACTACTACTACTACTACTACTACTACTACTACTACTACTACTACTACTACTACTACTACTACTACTACTACTACTACTACTACTACTACTACTACTACTACTACTACTACTACTACTACTACGACTACTACGACTACGACTACGACTACGACTACGACTACGACTACGACTACGACTACGACTACGACTACGACTACGACTACGACTACTACTACTACTACTACTACTACTACTACTACTACTACTACTACTACTACTACTACTACTACTACCAGTACTACTACCATTACTACTGCTACGTCAGAGGGAAACAATTCGTGAACACCCCCCTGCCCCCCAAACTCAAAATTGGCACGCGGGGGGGAGTTTGCGGTCGAGGTGCAACTCATCAGACCCACCGCCAACTTTGAACATTGGGGAGAAAGGGAGGCGTTCACATATGAATGTGGCATGAGTGTTCGCAGTTTTTCCCGAGGCCTGTGGGTATGTCACCTGGCACGTGGCTTTACTCTAAGTTCTTATTGCCCGGACTGCAAGAGATAGGAGAAAGAGTAAACGAGAGGAGGGATGAGGGGGGGGAACGAGGAGTGCGGAGGAGTGTGGAATCGTCTGAGGAGGAGCGGGAATCGATGGGGAGGAGGACGGAGGAATGTTGAGGTGTGTGGAAAAACGGGCACGGATGGGGAGGAAACGGAGGAGGGCGGAATAATGGTCAGGATCGGAACGGAAGGTGGAGAAGAGGGAAGGAGGAGGAGAGGGGAGGAGCGGGAATCGATGGGGAGGGGTGCGGGGGAGTGCGGAGGAGTGCGGAGGAGTGGTTCGGACTGGAATGGACGGTGGAGGAGTTGGGAGGAATGGGAAGAATGCGGAAGAAGATGGAAGAGTGCGGAGGAGGGCGGAAGAATGCAAAGTGGTGAAGTGCGATGGGGAGGAGCGCAGACGGCGGAGGAATGCGGAGGAGTGGAAGAGTGGGCATGGGCGGGGAGGAATGCGGAGGAGTGCGGAGGAGGGCTTAGGAATGGAAGGTGGAAGGTGGAATATTGGAGAGGAATGGGAGTAGTGCGGAGGACGGCGGGATAGTGCGGAGGAGGGCGGAGGAGTGTAGCGGGGTGGACTGGGCCGGGGGAGGTGCGGAGGAGGGCGGAGGAGTGCGGGCCTTGGAGGAGCGGGAAAGGATGAGGAGTGCGGAGCGGTGCGGAGGAATGCGGAAGAGTGCGGAGGAGGGCAGACACATGGTTAGAATTGGAAAGAACTGCGGAGGAGAAAGCCCGGAGACCCCAAAACTGCCGACGGGTCGCCTGGGTATCGTTGATGGATGGGCTGGTGGGGATAACGCGAAGCATTCGGCGTTCAGACGGCACGGTGGCTCCACACCCCGGCACGGGTGGGACCCCGAAGCTGCCGACGGGTCGCCTGGGTATCGTTGACGGATGAGCTGGTGGGGATAACGCGAAGCATTCGGCGTTCAGACGGCAATTTGGCTCCACACCCCACCGCGGCTGGGGCCCCAAAACTGCCAACGGGTCGCCCGGAAATCGTTAATGGATGGATCGGCCAGGCCTGGGGGTAACGCGAAGCATTCGGCATTCAGACGGCACGGTGGCTCCACGCCCCGGCGTGGCTGGGGCCCCAAAACTGCCCACGGGTCGCCTGGACATCGTTAGTGGATGGGCCAGGCCTGGGGGCAACGCGAGGCATTCGGCGTTCAGACGGCAAGGTGGCCCCACAGCCCGGCGTTGCTGGGGGCCCAAAACTGCCCACGGGTCGCCTGGGTATCGTTGATGGATGGGCTGGTGGGGATAACGCGAAGCATTCGGCATTCAGACGGCACGGTGGTTCCACGCCCCGGCGTGGTTGGACAGGGCGCGGTGGACAGAGCGCCTCACCTCGACCGAATTACCCGTGTAATTCCTCCACGCTGTCTGGCTGGGCACAGACGCAAACCGCGACGCGGCGACGACCTTGGCGGCGACGACGACGGCGACGACGGCGGCGATGATGACGGCGATGACGATGATGATGGTGATGATGGCGACGCTGATGACGATGATGGGGTGGGCGGGTATGATTTGAACCACGCGTGGCGCACGGCGTGGCTGCCTGGTAACGGCGCCGCGCAAGATGAACTATGTATTCGGCGGCGCTGCCGCCGCGGCGGGCGCACGGCTGCGCGCGCTGGCTGGGCCTGGCGGCGGCGCAGGTATTGGCGGCAGTGCTGGACTGACAACTCAGCGCGGCGACGTGTGCCTGATTGCATGTGCTGGGTCGGCCTACCGGCGGCGCTAGTAGTAGCCGCGGTGCTGGACTGACAACTCAGCGCGGCGGCGGCGACTCGCAGCGATCCAGCGGCCGCCGCCTCAAAGAGCAGCTATTCAGCGGTACCGCACATAAAAATTAGCGCAGCAGCGGCTGCAGCGTGGGAAGTCCTTCACGCGCGCCTCCTGCGGGAGCGGGGCCAGCCAGACCCGCGCGGCGAAGCGCTCGGTCATCGCCTGGTTCAGGCGCATCGTGGCACAGCGGGGTCGGGGCGCACAACATGCAAGGGGGAATTGCTCGTGTAGACTAGCGGGGCTGTGTTCCGATGGGACACATTCTTCTTGTTGGGCACGCGGATATCCATGCGTTCGCCCACGAGCATGGACAGCAAATCCTCGAAGAGGATGGTGGCGTCGTTGTGCTTCCAGTCCTGCCACAGCAGCACCGAGTCCAGGACAGCCGCCAGTGGGAACGAAGACTTCGCCTGGGGCTTGCCCATGACTTTGAAAATGCCGTCGAACGGCTCGAAGAGCATGGATTTCCCACACCCGGGCCCCCCGATCACTGCGATGTTCGTGCCCCTTGTAGCCCCGGAGGTGCGGGCGCCGCAGACGTCGGCGCAGAAGCGCTGGACGTCTTCCTCGTTCTCCAGAACCTTCAGGGCCCCGGGGGCCCAGGCGCCCCGGCACGCGCAGCCCACCTCGGTGGCGGCAAAGCGAAGGAGATCCATCCGCGTCGCCGCCCTCATAGCAATCGCCCGCGGCGCCTGCAAGATGGCCACGGAGGAGGTTACCAAGTCGTTCAGCTTCTCCTCGACCTGCGCCGCGCAGAACTGCGCGAGGCTGGCGTCGCCCTCGTTGGCCGCGCGAGCTGCTAACCCCTGCAACTCCGAGACCGTCCTGATGCCCTTCTCCTGAACCAAAGTGAACGCGTCGCCCGGGCGCACACTCTTGGCGCGAGTTTGCCCAGTCTCGTGAGCACGCCGCTTCCGGGCGTTGGCGCGGGAGAACAGCTGGCCGGCTTCCAGGAGTTTGCGGGAGGCCTCGCCCCGCGGGTGCATCTGGCTCAGGAACAGCTCCTGGTCGAGCTCCGAATGCGGCTTCTTGGGGGTGGCCACCGTCAAGTAGGAATACATGGAATAGTACCCCTCGCGCGCCACCGCTTTCAGCTTCACGCCGAAGCGCCGGTGGCTGATTGCCGCAACCTTCCGCCAGTAGTGCCTCGAGCTCGTGTAGCAGGCTGCGTGGCGGTGCAAGTCCCTGCGCCCGTCGTGGCCAGCTGCGTGAGCCTCCTCAGCCACCGCACCGAACATGAGGATCGACCCCGATGCGTTCGCCGCCTCGGGGTAGGCGTCCAGGTAGACCTGCTCCAAATGCTTCCAGAAGCCCTCCCGCGTCAGGTCTCTGGGCTGCTGGTCCGCGGGGGGCCAGGTCCGGGCGTGCGAAAAGTGCACGCGCTGGCGCTGCGCGTCTGGGGCAAGCGCGGCCAGCTCCGTCCTGTTCTCAGCCGCAATCGCAGCCTGGGCGACGGCGGCGGCCTCGCGCGCATGCGCCGCGGCCGCGGCGCCCGCGCACGGCGCGGGAGGCGGCTGCTTGGCCCTCAGTCGGTGGCGCTGCACAGACGCGGCGAGGGACATGCCGCTGGCGCTCTGCGGGCCAGTCGGGGGGAAGCTGCTCCCTACGTTCGGGCGCCGAGGCAAACGGAGCCAAAGCGGCTGCGTATAGTTGTGTCGAGCGCCCCAAGCCCCCAGACCTGGGCGCCCTGGGCGGAGCCCCGTGCATCCCACCTTGTTTGTTACGTATCACTCGTATCACTCGTCCCATCGCTCCTTTTTTTGCATATTACTCGCGTCGCTCGTTGAAGAAGAGAACACTCTACTACAATTTTCTGTCTTAACGAGTGATGCGAGTAATATGTAAATTATTCACTGCGTGGAGCTCCCCATCTGTGCATCCATTCGCATGGACCTGTCCGCCGTGAGTGTCCAGGCGCAAGAACTTTCGAATATAAGCGGGCTTCAGTTGTGGCGGTCAGATCATGAATCTAACCGCGAATGAATTGAAATGTGAATGAGCCTCAATAGTGCGAGCGCGTCTCTGCGCAAGAGCCTGGGGCCTCCTGGGGCCACCTGAAACCTACTGGGGCTTCCTGGGGCCTCCAGGGGCCTCTTGGGGCCTCCCGGGGCCTCCTGGGACCTCCCAAGGAAGCTTCGTGCCCCAGGAGAGGCCCAACATATAGCTACCGACGTGCATCAAACGTCGCGGATTGGAGCCGCAGGAGCAGGGCAATCTATAGGAACACACGTAAAGCACCAATGACTCGTGCCCCAGGAGAAGCCCAACATATAGGAGCATGAATAAAACATTTAGGATTGTGTTCACAGGAGAAGGACAATCTATAGAAACATACGTATAACATCAAGGATTCGTACTCCAGGTGAACCCCAATCTATAGAAGCAGACGTAAAACACATGAGATTGAAACCACTCCCGTTGCCTTCTGAGGCCTCCTGCTCCTGGGGCCTCTCGGGGCCTCCTGTTCCGTCCGAGACCTCCTGGCGCTTCCTCTGGCCTCCTGGGGCCTCCTGTGGCTGAGGCCTCCTGGAGCTTCCTGGGGCCTCCTGGAGCCTCTTGGGACATCTTGTGGCCTCTTGACTCTTTCGTCGCCTCCTGATGCCTCCTGGGACCTCATGTGGTCCCCAGGGGCCTCCTGGAGCCTGTTGGGGCATCCTGTGGCATCCTGAGGAGAACCTGCGCCCGCGAGTCTGTCCACCAAAACAAGCAAACCGAACGAGACATTCTCAAAATCTGGCCCACCCGGGGGGTCAAAATGAGCGCCTCGCTCGAAACATCCTCCACATCTGCTCCGAAAGCGAAGGATGTTGGGACAGAAAACAAGCAAACCGCTTGAGACTCCCCCACAAAACGGCCGCGAACGGGACCGCGCCCTACCCCTCGGCGGCCCCCCTTAGGGGCGTGAACATGAACGCCTCGCTCGAGACATCCTCCAAATCTGCTCCGAAAACGAAAGATGCTGGGACAGAAAACAAGCAAACCGCTTAAGACATCCCCACAAAACGGCCGCGAGCGGGACCGTGTCACACCCCTCGGCGGCCCCCCTTAAGGGGCGTGAGAATGAGCGCCTCGCTCGAGACATCCTCCAAATCTGCTCCGAAAGCGAAGGATGTTGGGACAGAAAACAAGCAACCGCTTGAGACATCCCCACAAAACGGCCGCGAACGGGACCGCGTCATGCCCCTCGGCGGCCCCCCTTGAGGGGCGTGAAAATGAGCGCCTCGCTCGAAACATCCTCCAAATCTGCTCCGACAGCAAAGAGTGTTGGGACAGAAAAGAAGCAAATGCTGCGTGTTGAGTAAGTCAACACGCAGCGCATGAGTATGAATATGAGTAGGTCTGAATCTGAGTATGTCTGAGTATGAAGAGGTCTGAATATGAGTAAGTCTGAGTATGAGTAAATCTGTGTATGAGTAAGTCTGCGCATGAGTACGAGGAAGAAGGAGTAGGAGGCGTCCAAGTAATAACAATAACCCCGTCTTAGGATATGGGGAAAAATAAAGAGCGGCGGGGCGAGTGATGCGAGTGATACACGAAGAATACAACGCGGGGCAATTCGGGCGGCAGCCGCGCGAGGCGGGAGCCCACGCGCTAGCAGGAGATGGGAGAAGGGCGGGGCGGGGCGCACCTCGCCAACCTGGCGCTCTTGGCACATCCAGCACAGCCGCGCGCTGGGGGCCCCCAGCGCGAGTGGCTGCACGGGCGAGCCAGACTGAAGTTGGCGCACTTGGTGAACCCAGCGCACTTGGCACACTTGGCCGCGCCCGGGGCGGAGCTGGCCGTGCTCACTCGGGCCATGGTGGCCCGGGCAGGGCGCGGCCGCGTCGAGCTGGGTTGACCTGGGCAGACCCTGGGAAGACCAGACAGGCCTTGACCGACCGGGGGCGGGATCGCGGGGGGCGCGCTAACGCGCGGCGCCCGGCGGCTTCGGCGCCTCAGCTAGCCGCGTCCACCTTCCTGGAAGTAGACGCCCTTCGCCTCGAACAGAAGCCGGCAGCGGCGCTTCATTGCCACGATGGACTTCTTCAAAAAATCCTGGCTCAGGGCAAGGCGCGCGGCGCGGTGCAGACGCCTGGTGAACTCGGCCCTTGTCTCCCTCTTGCTCTTCGCCATGCGCCGCTCCTGTTGCGCATCTTCCGGTTGACGGCTTTCCAGACTGCATAGTCAAGGACGTTCAGGTCTGGGGACCTCTGGGGTTTCACCTTCGGGGCCCAGGCCAGCCCCGGCGAGTCGAATCCACCCCGGCACCGGGAGCACCTCCGAAGCCCCGGCACCTGGCCCTCGTCGAGACCGCGTCGAACTCGGGTCGGGCACGAGACTGGCGAGGCCCTCCGAAGATGCAGCGCCAGACCTCTCGGGCATGCAGAAGGGCTTGATGCGCGCCTGCCGCTTGGCCGCCTCGCCCTGGGAGCTCTTGAACCCAGTCGGGTCGTTGTCTTCGAGGACAAAGTAAGTGCGACGCCGCGGTTTAGCCGCTCACAGAGCAGCCGCCATTGGCCCCTTGTACACCCGTGCAGCCGCTTGTCCACTCCACCGGCTTCCGTAATCGTGCCACATCATCAGCTGGCCATCCCGACACCGGCGATGATCTTCACGGCCTTGCACCCCGGGTTGAACCGCAATTCCTTGGGCTGAACGACGTTGCCGTCAGCCAGGCCCTCGCACCGCTGGCGGCAAGCCCCCCGGACTTCCCGCGTCGCCGCATGCAATCTCCCGCGAGCGGTGACGTAGACCGGGAACGTTTTGCAATCGATGTGCATATGGACTGACTTAAGCCAGAAGCTCGTCGGCTTGTCCTTGTACTTCCTCGCAAAGGCCAAACGCTCTCGACGATCGGCCTTAGTCAGCAATGGCTTGGCCCGAAGCCTCCGGAACTCGACTCCTTTCTTTGCCGAAGCCTTCCGCAGTGTCCTGTCGGGGCACTTTACCCGCGCGCGTTTCGTGATCACGGGTGACGTTACCTCATAACGGGCCCCAGCCTTTCTCACCATCGCCCGTAGGCGCAGACGCCACATGGTTGACCTGCTTCTTGGTAAGAGCGGGCGGGCGGTCACGCCGAGGCATGGATCCGCGGTTGGGCGAGATGTCCAGGGCGCGGTAGACCGCGGTTCTGGAGCGGTCCACAGCGAGCGCAATCTGCGTGATTGTCACGCAGAGAAGGTTGCGCATCCGCTGGATAATGTGAACCTCGCGCAGCCCAACGGGCTTCCTGCATACCATCGTGGCAGGCAGTGCGTCTGGTGGCGGTGCACACGTGAGACGGGCGGCCTGGTGGCTTGGGCACAATGACCTGCAACGGTGTTCGAAGGACCACGAGTGGGCAACGCGGGCCATGCTTGCCCTGTGCATCACCGAGGTAAATATATAGAAAGAGGTGTCTGTATACAGCAGCTGTGTTATTGGGGGCATCCCAAACATCATCCTGCCCTGCCTGGCGCACGACCAAACAAGCTGCACACATCGGCGCATCGAAAAACATGGCCCGCTTCGTGCCTCCACCCGGACAACGCAGAACCAAGGTTCCAATGGTGGGCGTGGCTGGGAAAAGAAAACAACAGGACCGCCCCCGCCCCTGTAAACGTCGGTGGACGCGGGATGATGACGATGAGGGTTTAGCCTCTCCACCAACGTCCAAGAGCGCAGGCAGCGCCTGATTGTCCAACGCGGCCCTACGCGGGCGTGGTGACAAGAATCACGAAAAATCATGGTGACACAGTGTAATGTACACTGGGGCTCCCAGATTTCGCTCGAGTTCCCCCTCTGGGAAACTGGGGGCGCGGGCCCGTCGGCCGCCCGCCCGCGACGGGACCCACCCCGCCTAAATGAAAGTCAGAAGGGGAAGCAAGGCGCAGCCTGCGGCGCGGTGCCCCGAGAGCGAAACGAAAGCGACCCGCGCGCGCGACCCGCGCCCGCGACTCTCACCAGCGACCCGCACTCGCGACCAGCGTCCGCGACCAGAGCTCGCGACCCAAGTCGGCCACCCGCGCTGGAGACCGCGCCCGCGACAGGCGACGCGCGCCCTTGGTGGCTGCCTCAATGACCGGTTTCCTGCGAAAGGTGCCCGCTCTTGCTGGGTGGCGGCCCGGCCGGCCTGCTGGCTGCCTGGTTGGCTGCCTCGTCGGCTGCCTGACTGGTGGCCCGATTGGCTGCCTCGTGGGCCGCCTCGAACAAGGAAGCAGGCGCGACCCGCGACGTGCGACCCGCCACTGCCACCCGCGCCCGCGACTCGCGCCATCGACCCGCGCTCGCGACCAACGCTAACGACCGACCCGCGCTCGCGACCAGCGCCCGCGACCCGCGCTCTAGCGCGGAGCCCGCGTCTGGCGCTGGGGGCCCGCGCCCGCGACCAGGGGACCGCGCCCTTCTGAGCTGCCTTGTCGGCAGCCTGTCTGACTGACACGCTAGCTGTGTCATTACATGTCATTGTGGCCGTTGTCTTGCAGAAATACTCGCCCGCAGAATCCCTCGGGCTACCCGCGAATGGCGGGCCAAACTTAGGAATAAGACGGTAGAGGGAAACAATTAGTGAACACCCCCCCTGCCCCCCAAACGCAAAGTTGGCACGCGGGGGGGGGGCTGCGGTCGAGGCGCAACTCATCAGACCCACCGCCAACTTTGAACATTGGGGGGGGGGGGGCGTTCACAGATGAATGCGGCATGAGTGTTCGCTAAGTTTTCCGAGACCTGTACTACTACGACTACTTTACTTCTACTCCTACTACTACTACTACTACTACTACTACGACTACGACTACGACTACGACTACGACTACGACTACGACTACGACTACGACTACGACTACTACTACTACGACTACGACTACGACTACGACTACGACTACTACTACTACTACTACTACTACTACTAACTACTACTACTACTACTACGACTACTACTACGACTACTACTACGACTACTACTACGGCTACTACTACTACACTACTACTACTAACTATTACTACTACTACTACTACTACTACTACTACTACTACGACTACGACTACGACTACTACTACTACTACCACCACGACTGCCACTACAGCTACTACTACTACTACTACTACTACTACTACTACTACTACTACTGCTACCACTACTACTACTACTACTACTACTACTACTACTAATAATACTACTCCTACTCCTACTCCTACTACTACAACTACTACTACTACTACTACTACTACTACTACTCCTACCCCTACTACTACTACTACTACTACTACTACTACTACTACTACGACTACGACTACGACTACTACTACTAACTGCCACCACTACTGCCACTACAACAACAACAACTACTACTACTACTACTACTACCACGATTACTACTGCCACTACTACTACTACTACTACTACTACTACTACCACTACTACTACTACTACTACTACTACTACTACTACGACGACGACGACGACGACGACGACGACGACGACGACGACTATTACCACCACTTCTGCCACTACTACTATGACTACCACCACTACTACCGCCGCTGCAGAGGGGGGTGGAGAGGAGTGGGGCCTCGCCGCTCCTTCTAATCGGAATCGCTGCCCAGGACGTCCGACTCCGAGTCGTCGGCCTGGGCCTCGGCCTTCCTCCCCCGGGGCGCGAAATGTCGGGGGCGCGCGGGGCTGGGCGCGACGCGCCGCGCGACGGACAGAGCGCGAACGCCCCCGCTCTGGGTTTGAAAACAAACAAACTATGCTTTTATGATTGGAACGCCTCGTTCCGTCCGCGTCGCCCCCGTTGCCTCCGGCGCCGCCGGTACTCCGCGCTGCCCCTGCCGCGGGGAGCGCGGCGCAGCCGCTTCCACCGCCGCAGGAGCGCCCAAAGCGGGGCGGGCGCCGACGCCGGGGGCCCCGCGCTGCAATTCCCCTCCGAACTTGCGGCGACAGCTGTCGGGCAGACGACGGACGCGGCGAGGGCGGCGGCGCCGCCCCCAGTCCGGCGGGCGCTTCGGCGCGGCGGCGGCGGCGGCCCCCCGCAGCCCTCGCACTTCGCAGCGAAGTGCGAGCCGCGCGCGCAGCGGAAGGCGCCGCTGGCGCACTTCTCGCGCGCCCGCCGCGCGGCCCGCTCGCCTCGGCGCGGCGCCCGCGCCGCCGCCCACGCCCGCCCCGCCCCGCGCCGCCGCCTCGGCCCCCCTGGCCCTCGCGGCAGCTGTGAGCCGCGCCGCCGTCTGCGCGGCCTTCAGCAAGCACGGGGAGGGTCGGGGAGGCCCCGGGGAAGAGCCCGGCGCAAGCCCAAGGGTGAGCTCTGAGGTTGCAGACGGAGGTTGGCCCGGGGGGGGGGCCCTCGGGGATGGCCCACGGGAAGCCTCAGGGCACGCCCAAGGGGGCGCCCCAGAGACCCAGGGGCATGGCCCAAGGGTAAGCCTGCGGTGGGCTTAGGAGCAAGCCTTGTCGGCGAGCCAGGGGGGGCAGGGGGGCGCGCGGGGGCGCGGGGGGCACGGGGGGCGCAGGGGGCGCAGGAGGCAGACGGGGCAAGAGGGGCATGAAGGGGGCAATGGAACACATGGGGGCACAGGGGGCTTGAAAGGGCCAGGTGGCCAGGCGCGCGATGAGCGAAACTCTAACCCGAGCGAGCGCCCCGCCGCTCGGAAGGGACGTCGCCGCCGAGCGCGGTCAGGTCTCATCGCTGCCATCGCGGGTATCTGGGCTGCGGGGGGTCTGGCGGGGCGGGCGGCTCCGGCGCGCGCTGAGCCCGCTCCTCCACGACGAGGCGATGGAAGCGCGACTGCACGTTCCGCACTGGGTCCTGTCGCGGGTCGGCGGCGCCAGGCGGCAGACCCAGACGCTGGCCCGGGGCCGTGCGCAGCGCCCTGCGCCGAAGCCGCCGGGAAGGGGGCGGGGCTTGGGGGGGGGGGCGGGGCAGGGCCCAGCCGCCGCCGCTTCGCGGCGGACGCGTTGGCCGCCGCCCTGGCCTTCGTCCGCGCGCGCGCGGCGGGCCGCGCGCTCGGCTGCCAGGGCGATCAGCCTGTCCCGCAGGGCGTAGCCGTCGTCCGCGGGGGCCCCCGGTGGGGCTGGGCCCACCAGCGCGAGGTCGGCCTGGCGCCTCCGCCGCAGCTCCCGCAACGTCTCGCCGAAGTAGCTGAGCAGGTTGGCGGAGGGCTCGGCCAGGTAGGCCCACTGGTGCACGAGGACCGCCTGGGTCGCCGCATCCGCCAGGGACGCGTTGACGCCCCTGTGGGACCCGCCCCGGCGGTGGTTGCGCCAGTGCCCGCCCGCTGTCTGGGTGCCCCCCTTCCGCCGCGTCCACTCGCCCAGCTGTCCGTCAAGGCCGCCCCACTGGCCCGCGCGCGGGTCCGCCTGCAACACCGCCGCCGCGCCCTCCGGGTGGACGTCCACCAGCCGCACGGCCACGAACTCGCGCTCCACGCGGCCAGCCAGCTTCCGGGAGTGGCACGCCGAGGTGTGGCACAGGCGCAAGTGGCGGTACATGGCCGCTACTACTAATTTTGCTGCTGCTACCACTGGTGCTACTACTGCGACTACTACGACTACGACTACGACTACGACTACGACTACGACTACGACTACGACTACGACTACGACTACTACTACTACTACTACTACTACTACTACTACTACTACTCCTACTACTACTACTACTACTACCACCACCACCACTACTGCCACGACTACTACTACTACTACTACTACTACTACTACTACTACTACTACTACTACTACTACTACTACTACTACGACTACCACCACGACCACCACCACTACTATCACTACTACTACTGCTGCTGCTGCTGCTACTACTGCTGCTACTACTGCTACTACTACTACTACTACTCCTACTACTACTACGACCACTACTACTACTACTACGACTACTACTACTACTACTACTACTACTACTAGCTTCCTATTTCCAACATCGCTCCTTCACTACTACTTACTACATACTTACTACTACTAACACTATACTGATAATAGGACTATTACTACTACTTTACTACTACTACTACTACTACTTACTACTAGTTACATGACTCTAGTACTACTACTACGACTGCTAGTACTACTTACTACTACTACTACTACTACTACTACCTACTACTACTAATGATATGAACTGATAATGATATACTATACTACTACTATACTTACTACTTCTACGACACTACTACTACTACTACTACGATGACTTACTACGAGACTACACTACTACTTCCTCCGACTACTACTATTACACTACAACTAC